TTTCCGAACGATTTTATCTAAAATATTTAGTGGCGCGGCTATTACCGACTATGAGGGTTTTCGCAAAGACGCTCGCGGCTCTTGAAAGAAGAACCTGCAAACCAAAAAGAAAAAAGGAAAAATGCCTCTGGGATTAATACGGCTTTACTGAAATAACACAACAAAAATACTCACACGCCCATCTGATACACACACATTTTCTTTTTCTACGCAATATCCCATCATAACATCATGACCATAATTTCGCAATTTATTTTTCTTTCTTTTACGAAATCTCTGGGAATTTAGTACCAGAAAATGCCGCGAATTTGAAATCATTAAAATCGCAAAGGCTTAGCAAAAAAAAAAACTAAAATTAAATAATTTGCTTTTAGTCGTAAAAGCTTCCATGTGCGAACAACATGAGATTCGGATCGAAAGACAAACGCAATCGGTTTAATTCCAGAGCTTTCGCGTCTGTTTATGTAAATATTTAAATGGGTTTTGTGCCGTTTGAATACGTAGTTGTATTTTTTGTTTGTTTTGGTTTAATGGCGCAATAAAAGTGAGATTCCCACAGGTTCAATAGATGTGGCGGCAAAGACGAAAAGAAAAAGTGAATGATGTACCACAGCATGTCTCCATGACACCTGATACCGCAAAGACACCAAATCAAAACCTAAATGGTTTCGTTGAACTCGAATATTTTAATTAGTATCTGATATGCTGATTATCTCTTCTAGTGATGAAAGTGATTTCGAACCAGTTCGCAAATTATGCCGAACACTCTCATATAGCGACGATAATTCTGAAGAAAAAAATGTGAAGAAAGATTAACTTTCATAAACATTTTCTGTATTTTTTTTTTGTAAAATTTTTCCGTATAAATTTAGAAGGAATATGTTAAGATTATATTTTTCTGAAATTTAATAAACTTGTCTATGATTGTTAACGTTTTTATAAAATTATGAATAAACATTTCAGAAAGAATATAGTAGATTTAGTTTTATGCGGTTTTAAAAAAAATATGGAACGTATCCTTTATTTTTATACGTGTGTCTAGTCCTTTTTTTGTGCGATTTATTTTTATGCGTTTTTCTGTGGTACATATCTACCGCATAAAAAGAGAACCAAGTGTATACGCTTGTGTTGTGTAAATTCGCGATTGGAAGTTGACGCTCCGCGGGTTTCGTGAAGACACGTTGCATAATTCCCGGTCTAAAAGCGCTCGGCGGAATGCCATGGGATCTTCAGTTGGTATCGTGAGTAAGTAGTGTAAATAGTTGACGGTGTAAAAATAGCATCATCGATTTGGTTCACAGATCACGGAGCCTCGGAGAACCGCTGCCACACGGCACCGCATAATTTCCAACGCGTTTAATGCCCAATAATTAACTAGATACCCCCCATTTTCATCGTAACTCTGCACAGAGAACATCGCAAACTTTACACACGAAAAGACGCTACAGTTTGTCATTTCGATCTGGGAAGGCGCATTCCTTTGCATGTCTAGGTATACTCAAACAATTTCAACTACATAGCAGTCTTTGTGAAAAGCAGTAGATGTCGATAATTTCCAAACTATTTGTGTGTTAATATCAAATACCCGTTTAATCAAAACTTAATCTAAACTAACCTTACTTATTTTATATAGTAAAACTTTGTTTAGCATTATGATGCATTCAACGAGGACAAGTACTATAGTAAATAAGTAAATTTAGAGATTTTTAGATTGGACTGCCGTTAATCGAGGTTTTACTTTATACAGACCAATTTAACGTTGTCATCTGTTTTTTTATTTTTCTTTGCTTTTATCTCAGTGTTATGATGAATTATTGTAACCAAAAAGAATGTGACATCAGAAACGCGTAGGTGAAATAAATTATAAAATAACTCAGTAATTTACACCCATAGATGTTGAAATAACAATCAGCAGTAAAAAAAGGAACCATTAATCAACTTATTCGAAAATCGATTACGTACGCGTTCGTAACGTCAAATACAAATATAATGACTGCTCAATTTACAAGTCCGACGTAGACATTAATTTCGAAGTGGCTGGCACTGTTGAAATCTGGACCATTAATCCATTAGAATTTTTGACGTGCCACCGATTAGGAACAGATTTGCGCCTTGTAGATGGAAATGCGGTGAGCGTTGATTAATTTCGGAACAATCGAAATTATGCGCGGGACGCACCGACTTTAAATCATGAAATGTCAACAACTTTGGTCTTCTGCCCACACGCGTATTTTGGCGCGAGAAGCAAGGCCAAAAGTAACGCGCCACAGATGATAATTTTCGTTGCGTAATTGGATCGGTTTTCGAGGCGAAATAACAATGAGCAAAGACAATTGATGCTGCCACGTCATCTCGGTTAAATGGCGCCACAGATGAGTGACGTGTTTGCCGCCGGATGGCGCTGCCGTCGTTTCGCGTGTTATTTCATTAGCGTGCGGCGTGGGCGAACACGGGCACTTTGCAATACGGAAACCATTCCGGCTGACTTTGTTATATGTTTTAAAGTAATTCACGACGTTATATAATCCGGGCAAACCGTTGACGAAGAATAACGACCAGTAGTAACGATCCGCACAGTCGCGCGTGGTCATATTGCAATCAAATGTAATGCCACCAGATATATGGCAGCAATGGTAATCGATCACAATTATGACCGCAACCTGCGTTCCTTTCTTGGAATGTCAAAATATTTAAACAATTTCCAACAATTAACCAACTGATGATGCGACGTCCCAACTGAAAAACCTTTGGCTTTGAGCGTTTCTCCGCAGATCACCTTTAACTTTCATTTTCACGATCAGACATTCACGGCTCGGACGCAATATAAATGATTCCAAACGCTCAACACTTCTGCTAATTTACTACCGTGATTTATAATGAAAGTCTGCAGGCAAATAAATAATTAAATCGAGTTAAAGCATATTTTACAGTAACTTAAAAAATCTTATAATAAAGTAAATGTTATTATTTAAAAGCTTTTTTATTAATAATAATCACTATTATAAATATTCATTAATTACGTAATGTAAATTTATAAGACTTTATGACTTTATATAATTAATTACTAACGTTAGGTAGTTAATTAATAGAATATTTATATTATGCTTATTTTAAATATTTATAGAGCATTGACTATGGATGATTTTGTCGTTATCCTATATAGATGATATCCATGTAGAATATTCAAGTGAATAAACCTATGGAATCAGCATCCGCGTATTTTATAATTGTGTTTGCTCGCCATTTTATGTGCGCCAGATATAAAGCTATTCTAATCCGAGGTTTCCGCCAGACATTACAATTTGCACGCATTTCAAACACAAATCTACTGTGCCTATGGGCAACAGCATGGATTTATGCGCCAAAACTAATATTGCAAACTATATTTCGGTATTCGGTATACACGTGTAAGAAAGTTCGATTTTTTTTATTTGCAGAAAACTGCGATATCGTAACTTGTTGATCGCTGTAATTAGAAGTTGTTCTGCTTCAATATCCAATGTATATATAGTCGATACCAGCAATTGGTGCTGTTTGTATAACTGCAATGAATGAACGTATCCAATCCGATTGCTTCAAACCAAAAATACATTCATTAGAACTATTCATTCGAGTTTGATAAAGAGAAAATAATAGTAGATAGATTAAATAATTAACTAAATCACACAGATTCGTGCTCTCAGTCAATCTTCCATTTATTTCAAGTATAGCAGATATTTTCATTATTTCATTGTAAAATGTCTTCAGGTAAATTTCTCATTAAAAACAATCTATATTTTTTAACTTTTTGTTTAATGTAATTGCAATATTAGAATAATTTTCCAAGTAGACAAGCTGAGTCATAGAGTAAAATGCAAATCAGAGTATGTACTGTTAGGAATTTCATTACTACAACTTCTACAAGTACAACATTGGAGATATATAAAGGATATTGAATTTACGTCCTTCGATTTAACATTCAAGAAAACCATGCCTGAATTAAGTGTAATAATGACAAATGTTTAATTTAATGTAAGTTGCTTTAAAAACTAGTTGCAAATGGACAAATAATTAAACAATTAATAAAATTATAAAATAATTGTATTTGATTATATTTTAAATATATAAATTATATAAGAAAACACATTTAGAATCGACAAAGACAAAACGATTAAAAAAAATGAACGCAGTAATTAATTATTATTAGCAGACAAATTTATTCATAGTTCTTGTTTATGTGTTTGTATTCGCAGAAGAATTTACAATGAATTAGATTTAATTGAGTACCGAATATTGTTTGTTCTTGGTACGGCTTAAGCTAATTAGATTATCCGGGGGCAGAACTAGACCCAAGGTTTTCAGCGTTTTGCATTTGAATAAATGAAACCGTTTGACATTTATCGTGGAAACATGTTCATGATTAGATGTTAGACATTACTTACTGGCCTCGCCTGTCCGACGGAAGTGTTCTTTTCCATATGAACGTGGGCGAAAATTAAATTTTCGGCTCGTGCGAACATACATCAGAAATTGTTTGGTTCGAGAGAGCGGAAAATATGATTGGAATGTTTCGATGAAATGCAATGCAAACTTATGATATCCAATGCGAAACAAGAGCGACATCTGCGACTACAAGAATGTAGAGGCTGGCTGTGTCGCTTCATTCCATCCTTATATTCTTTCTTCTTTTTTTTTTTATTTGTATCTCAATTTTTATTGCGCGCGTTACGCAAAAATTTCACTCTTTATAGATTCGGCCATAAATTTTATTGCGTCGGTCGCTGTGGCTTTATTATTAAAAATGGACATGGACGGGACTTCGGTTTTAATTGAACATAAAATCCAATGTTAAAATTGCAATTATGAACGAGCACGCACATGATTTGTAAATCCGTGTCAGCGAGCCGCGAATGCAAATTGCGAAAAGAGGCATTTCGCAAACTCGGACGGAGATGTACAAAGGAGACACGAGGAGCGAAAATAAAGGAGAGGAGAGAAGATAATACACTTTTTTGCTTTACCTCGGAGGATTCCTTTGCCGCTTCTGTTGAAGAAGTGCATAATCTGAAACAGAAGAGAAAAATAAATTAAATTTAAAAAAAAAAAACAAGTTTTAATTAGAACAATGCAGATTACTTATTATTGGCGAGATTCGTATCTTGGTGATGGGAAAGGCTGAGAAGAGGAGAACAGTAAGCGGAGCCGATTGGGATCTAAGATATTTTAGTTATTTTCTCTGCATCTTGATAAACGTGCTATTATTATAACGCGATTTAATCACGAGCCAAATGGAGATAGCCTCTTCGTTCGAAGAGTGCGAAAGACTGAGAACGAGCCACTCGCACTGAATAGGGAAAATAAGGAAAATAACGATATTAATTGCAACTAATTTGCCGATACAAATTAATCTTACTTCAATTTTACTCTTCTTTCAATAAAGTAAGCAGATGTGCGTATAGATGGCGCAACGACTTTCCTATACAATATGCATACCAACATGACAGCATAAGCCAGTATTATATTCAGAATGATTACAACAATTTGCGATACATTAAGATACTTATTACCTTATTTCTATCTATAATTAAATTTATTTCATTAATATAGGTGATGCACTTTTAATAACCAATTATTATATCTGAATTTAGAAAGAAATTTCACTTTAAAGTTATCATCAATGAAAGTTGAATATCTTATTTCTCTTTTAATAAATAAAAAATAACATTATGTAACATATTATTTAAATATAAATTTCTTAGGAAGATTAAAAATAAATTAAGAGAATTTTATTATATAAAATAAATATAAATGGAAAACTTAAAGAAATGAAATTCACAATTATAAAAGAATATGATGATATCTATAAAAGCATGTAAAAAAAGAGACTGGTTGAACAAGTTGAATGTTTCGTTCGTCGTAAGTTCAGTAAACTTGAGAATAGATGGCGCTGGCGATTAAGACAGTCAAGTGGTTTACCAACTGTTGGATGGAGAAGAAAACGAAGATGCTGAACAGATATCGAACTATTATTCCATGTGTCGGGTAAGTTATGAGTTTAGCGGAGAAGAAGCGGTGGATCGTCGATGGATTAATGGCGAACACATCCCGATGTTTCAGGAAAAAGAATGTTTCTCCTCTTCATATTTCTCCGTCCGTGCGTTCAATTATAATGTAACGTTCCATATAAGTGTAATGTTTATGCATGTAATTATTGGCTTATAAGTGGAGTCCGTTGCGTTTTATAAGCAGTAAAGGATCTGAGCTCGGAGCCCACGGTTAGGGTCAGATTACGTGGGCCGGCAACGTGTAAACTGGCCATTCGTATCTATGCATTATCTATGTTTTGCGTACGTATGCCAGAGTCTGCACGGGACGTGTTATGTCTGTCGCAGACAAGCAGGAAAATGAATATAGCAACAACAAACAAAAAGTAAAAAAAAAAAGTGATTATGCAATACGCCATGCATCTATTGTATGTGTGTTCTGTCAGTAAACATATATACACACACACAACACACGCAGTTTGATAAATGGAGATAACGATCGATAATGTATAATGGAGGAAATGGTCTTCTTTGACCTTTAGGTGGGTGTTCCGAAACTGTTCGGATTCACGCAACAATCATTATTATACACAACATTCCCGTACACACACACACACACAACACATTCCACAACATTTATGTAAGTTTATTTTTAAACCGTTGGTAACGTTTTGACATGTAACAAGGTTGGTAATATTTCCCGGCTTGTATCGATATTTTTTGAAATACACCTTTCACTTGTGATACACCCTATCTTGTTCACGACAACATTAATCCCAGCATTGTATTCGCTGTCCGACTACAATGTAAGCATTTCCGCTTCCTACCGATTTCAATCTAATTTATTATTTTTTCTACAAACATTAAAAACTCGGCAAATCTGACATTTCAAAATTAAACTAAAAATCAAATTCTTCCAGTTTTTTTTTGTTGTCTTCGTCTCCTTAATGTCAATACAATTAAAACGTAAAATTTATGTGACGGAATCTGGATCCAAGGACGAAGCCGTATGTCGAGGGCGGGAAAAATATTCGAATTCGTTTTATTTTTTTTTTGTTTGTTTCTTAAGTTTCTTCTCGGTTTTCATTTTATTTTTGACGTTAGCAACGCGCGCCCTGCGTGATTTATCGGCGCTTGTAAATGCAATGCACATTCGAAGCCCACGACGAAGCCGGCTGTGGCTGTGTCTGCACGGCTGAGCCGAGCCGGTCCGTTTCAAACGGCTCTCGGCCGTAACTCACAATTTGACATTTATTTAATTTATTTTACGGCGGCCTTAATATTAATTACAATCGGAATCGACCTTCTGAGCTTGCGCGTGGGCAAAAAGTCATATCCAAAAGAAATCTTCGTCTAAAAGCTAAGTATTTTGGTTTATTGAAAATTACATTTTTTTTTTTAATTTCTCGAATAATAAGCTTAGGCCAGATGTGGAAGAAGGTTCAAATGAGATTAAAATTCCTGTTTTAATAAAATATAGAATATTGAGTTTGTCGCTGTTAATATCATCGAAAGTTTAGTTAATATTTTAATGGAATAACTTTTGAATTGATGCGAAATGTTTAAATAACTAAATTGACTCCATTTTTAGATGTTATGCAAAGAAATGTGTACGTAAATTACTGCTTTAAAGCAGATGGCGCTTCTGTCAAAACACTCAACGTGATGCAACCAATTAAACAACCCATAACAAATACTTGTGACTGTTTTCGTCGTCTCGTTGAAATATCCAATATTAAGATGTTCTCATCTCTTCGGCGGACTTTTAATTACCTTCTTTTTTTTCTCGCTTTTCTTGTAGAACATGCACGTTAATTATGAAATTGAGACGACGTGGAATGGATGGATGGATGGCCGTTGCGTTGAGTAATCCAGAACCTGAGAATGTAACGCCTCTGTGTGCGCTTTAAGAGTCTTCTTGCGTAATTGCTAATTAATTAATTATTAAGAGATTTCGAGGCCTTGCCTTGCAAACGAACCTCGGCCGCAGTTGATGAGAGTCCTGCTGTTGCTGATGCTCGGAGGAGGCATGGAACGTACACCGTAATTACATGAAAAATGAAACCTCCGCAATTGGAGACCAGAGAGTTTAGTCCATCGTGCGTCGTGCACAATTAATCAAAAAAACATTTTCTTCTCAATTCCATATCTTACACCATCCCCACGTTGCTTTTCGGATCCATTAAACATCGACGCTTTCACTGGCAAATGTTATTAATTATCCGAGCAGTAAGTGTTGACCGTTAATTAATGATCATTGAAATTAATGAAGCAGCAGTTTACGGGTTATTAATCGTCCGGCGAAGGCGGGAACTTTGAAAATTTAAATTAAAGCGAACTCGATAGATGGCGTACGAATAAATAGTGGATTTCTAGTCTTTTTCATCTACATCTGGTTCATATATTTTTTACTCCGTTTAAGTAAAACTAATCGTCGGATGGTGTGCACTGAATAATGGCGGATAATTTACGGGCTTACTGCAATAAATTGTGTGGCAAACTCGCGTGTAATCTGACAAATCTTTACTGGTCGTACCGGGGTCGAGGATACTTCTGCTCAAATCTTGGCGAGTGCGCTCGTGCGTGTGTGTTGTCTGCATGTGCAGGTGTGTCTATCTATGTATGTAAATATGAGCATCTACTATATTTCAGAATAATCCAGTTTCTGATTTTTTAAATCATTATTAACCGTTATTAACACTAAACCTACCACCGTTTTTGAAATTTCATTTACAATTAAGAAGAAAAATATAGTGGAATCTCGCTTAACGAGCATAATTAATTGTAAGAAAAATGACTCGCTTAACGAGCAAGGTTTCGCATAACCAGTGACGATGAAAAGAGAAGTCCAGGATTTCGCGCCTGCTACATCATTTTTAAAACTTATGTTTCACTATACGAGTATTTGACTATACGATATATCACTATAAAAATGCGCTGAAAACGCATAACATATTCTAAATAAATGAAAAGATTTTGTTCATCCATTTTTGTTATTTGCAAGTAATAAATATCAAGTATTTATTTCCTAAATTATGTTGAATTTTGCGTTATAAAAAAAATATTATTTTCATACGTTGGGTAAAAAAGTAGGATTGATAATATGCAACATTGTGTAATAAATATTTATAATAATGGGAGTGAAATGTGTGTGTGTATGCGTATGTTCGTTTGATGTTCAGTATCGATTTTCTATATAATTTATGTGCAGATCGTTGGGCATTTAGATCTTTAAATTCTCGCGTTCGCAGTAAGAAAACGATGCACAGGAATTATTTAATGCACATAACTTTGAATGCCGGAGTTACAGTTGATTTATCTTCCATATAAGAGTAGACATAGACTTTGGCTCCTCTCCGCGCATAAATGTGCGAGCATTTTTACCTTTAAAAAACTGGTTGCCATCATTCTTCATGTAAATATCCTTAACTCTCTCACGTGCATATATATATATATGTATACTACATACACATGTGGATATCTACATATCTCTTCTACTCGCAGCACACTCGAAAACACACCAATGCCAATACAATAAAATATTATAATTTCAGCAGGTACGAAACATTCCAACAATGAAAAATAAGTCAAACATTTAATTGCAACTACTTTATCCTTCAGGTAATACAAATTTGTCGTTTTCTCTTTATAATTTAATGAATAATTTAAAAAAAAACACTATACAAACGAGTAACATTTCAAATATGGATGTAAAATATGATTCAGCGCTGAAACAGTTACATAATGCGAGGAATTATAATTAATATATTGAATTACATCCGAAAATGCGAATTGAGAAATGAATCCTTACATCTATATGAATTTTTCAATAAATTTTTAAATGATTATAAATTCTGATAAATATTACTATTATATTGATAATTATTGGAAATTTGATCAAATATTCATATTTTTATAGTTTTCTTTAAATTTTCTTTGTTTCAAATTTATAGCTGCTATTTTTATATAATTGACATACTTTGAAATTAGAAGATATAATGAGTTGGAAACTTGTATATA